GGCATCCGGCCACCGATCTCGACCTATCCACCGATCACTAAACTCATTGTCCAGGTATGCACGCACTACAGCTCCGGCGAATAATAATTTAAACGTCCATGACCTTGCGCATGAGTAGGCGCACGAAATTGTCCGTGGTCGATAAAACGTTGGTTTGCAGCCAAGATGGTAGGTGTGGAGGGAATTTGAGGGTTTTCAATTCCACGTAGCCGCAGTGCATTTAAATGCTCCGGCTGGGAATACAAACGCCGAGCCTCTTCCAGCTTACAGCTGTACCATTGCCAAGTCTCCACGTTTGAAAATTCGTACTGTCGACACCACCGGTGGTTATATCTAACTCGAACCGACCAAACGCCGCACGCCGTCTTAGGTACCAGTTGCCGGGGAACCAGGTGTACCCTAGGAAGGAAAACCCTGATACCCCGACGTCCTTGGGCCATCTACTTGCGTAAATGACCCCCCCCTGTGTGACAACCCCTATGTCCCCTTTGTGCTCCCGAAAGGGGGGCGCGCGCTTCGAAGCGCGTCTCGCCACCACCCTGGCCTGCTTCTGCTAGGGTGACAGATGGCCTCACCTACCACCCCCAGGCCTGTGCTTATGGAGGACGGAGGTCATTCTGCGACCTCCGTCTGCGGTACCCGGCCCGTTGCCGGGCTCCCGGTCTTGCTCCGCCATCTCCTTAACAAGCAATGGTCGAGTACCTGTCGACGAATCAAGCGTATTGATTTCATTTCCTCTGAATTTTTGTCTCATCGAAAGACTCATCAACAAAGTATTCCCAAACATCAGTGCTACCCACAAAAAAAATGGTTGTTTTCTCATCAAAATTTAACGAAACAAATAAACATATTAGTCAGTCTTATAACAAGTAGATACACGTAACACAACTTGTGAAGTATGTTGAAAGTTTCAAATGAGAACTTTTGTTAATAAGGCCCTCCTTATATATATAATAGGAACTTGTGTTAATAAGGGGTCGATTTTGAGACTTCGTTCACCTCAAAAAATCAGTTTACAATTATGTAGATCCCTGGGAAACCAGTTTTCGACCCCAAGGGATCGATATCCACTATTTTGGGAATCCCGGGTTTGTAGTTCAACAACATCAACAACAGCCTTTAATAGTCCACTGCGGGACATAGGCCTCTCCTTAGCAAGGAGAAATCTCCTCTAATTGTGAAAAGCCAACCACGCCGTTAATTTCTCTCAAATCTCTGACAAAGAACAAGTTCTGCCATATATTTTGAGTTTACATTATAATATATATAATATATATATATTAACCTATCAGGCGGTCTACTCACCGGCTTACCCAGCGGAGATATTCACGAGATTTGGGTTACCTCAGGGCGCCTTGTCGACAACAGAGGGGTACGGATATGTGTGCGTGTGGGCAACCTAAGGGACTCTTCAGAGAAACACAACTTACACCTCAGTCATACATACATGTATATTTCTTTCAAAATACAGAGTTATAAACTTAAAATTGAATATATATAAATAGTAGGTATTTCAAAAAAAAGGATCACCAAGCGGCGCGCGTCAAGGCCGAGCAGATGTTGCTAGGAGCCTCTTCGTCAGCAATCCTGCAGGTTATTTCCACACCAGCCCAAGTCGGCTATTTATATTAAGTAGGTAGGTAGGTTAGGTATTTATATTAGTTAAATTAACAAAATTACGTGACCCTGGAATGAGGCTGACCGCTTGCTTGTGAGCCGCGTGACCGCCAGTATATGTATAGATGGTACTTAGGAGCTCATTTACGCACAAGAAGGCCACAAACAAAAGAGCACGCCGTCTGAGAAGTATCTCTTGACCCGAAATCTTGAGCCCTACGAATGGATTAACACTCATATAATCGTTCAGATTGCAGAAAAATAAGATTAACTTACCACTGAAGTCGGTACTTAGGACACAGAATTTACTAAAAATGGATTAACAGACAATTAAAATGCTACTTCAGATCGGAAGACTAGAATCACCAGAGTGTCCCTTGCGGCTGGAAGCCGGACTTATATATGCTCGGTTTGTGAAACTTCTAGAAAGAATCCCTTCTTTATTTAGTCATAAATGGGAGCTCAATCGAATTCAAATTATCATTGAGGTTAACTTGACTCAATTCAAAGGTAACCACTTCATACCATATCAGGACACATTTAACACCAATACAATTTGACCGGATAAATTATTACTACGACACGCGACATACCGAAAAAAACACGCCATCTAGTGGTCCGATGGCGGACGAAGAGACATCAATACTATAGTAACAATCTACTTCGGATAAATCAATAAGTGCGACACGGGGCGACAGGTGTCACTGTTGACAACTCCGTACGCAATACAAATATATTGGATAAATAACTGTTACAATTTATGTGTGTGGAATTGTATATGTTTTAACTTTATAACTATTATTACCACTGTAACCTCTGCGCACCTACCTCACCAAATTTCTACACCATCCAAAGGATGGCTGGTAGAGAATGCCTTGGGCATTAATTCCGCCGTTGTACACAAGTGCATAAAGTTGTAAATAAATAAATAAAATATGTTAATAATAATAACATTTTCGAACATCTGCTAAACAACGCCATCTAGTTTCAAACTAAGCAGACCTTGTACTATGGAAACTAGATTGAATGATAGAAAACCATTTTTTTATTGTAAATACATATATATTATACATAGAAAACACCTAAACTCCAAAACAAATATTTTCAGATCAAACAAACATTTGGTCCAACCCGCTAATCAAACCAAGACCTCAGTCACGTTAGTTCAATGGAAATTATCAAATTAAATGGTATTAGATAAAAATATACACAAGCTTATATTATCTTACTACTAATTATATACATATTATAGAAAAATTGCTCCCAGACATAGAACAAATGATTGTGTTGAACACAGAATCATTTATCCGCGGGAATCGAATCCACGACCTCTAAATAAGCAATCGAGGTCGCCAATTACTAGATTGCAACCTGTGCAATAATCTTGAAATTTCTATAAGTATTTTATCTGAGATTACCAGCGCACTGGCGCCATCTGTAATTTAATTTTTCTCAAATGGAAAATAAGGGTGGTCCGCCCACTCCAGTATCGAAAGGGTTCTGTATTTTCTGTCGTATCCTTTAAGAATCTCCCGGTCCGATGATATCAACTCAAAGTCACAAATATTTATGTTTTCTTCAATTCGAGACTTTGTGATGGACTTTGGGAGAGGTATTGTACCGAGTTCCACCTGAAATGGTTAAAAATATTTAATATGTACGTCCGTGTGGTGACGGATTAAGAATACAGATTGTCACCCCAATAGTAAACCCCAATAATCCCGTGGGTGTCGTGAGAGCCGACTAAGGGAGCAAACTACGCAGGACAACAGCACTGCAAAGAGAAGGAAAACTTGACACAAACCCTATACCAACTCGTCTGGCCAGCGTGGTATAGTAGGCCAAAAACCTCCTTACTAAGGAGAGGCCTATGTCCAGCAGTGGACTATTAAAGGCTGTTGATGTGATGTGATGTGAAACTCACACTGGGCCCTCTGGTCTACTTACCAAGTATCTCAAAGTTATTTGCGGTACAGTCTTATTGTATTTGTTGGCCATTGTGACAAGGGCTGGTTCATCGATTCTTGGTGGGGGTGCGTTCGAACTCGCTTTGTTGTAGAACAAAGAGCCGAAGGGAGTGTAACTCATCACCGCGATGTCCTGTTCCTTGCAGTACGAGAGAAGAGCAGGCTGCTGGAGGTTCAGATTCACCTGTTAACAAACGGGGGTATTATGAAAATTGTTGTCGAAGTATCATCATCATCAACAGAGTTTAATAGTCCACTGCTGGACATATGCACAGAAGGTTTTGGACACGTTAGCCAGACGGGTTGGTATAGGGTTTGTTTCAAGTACATTTCATGGGCCCCGTCGTGGTCCACCCCCTGGCGCCTCAATCGTGGTCAACTCGGTCCTCGTACCGGTTCGGGCCCAGATGAAATATCTGGGCCTGATCCTCGACGGGAGGTGGCTCTTCGACGAGCACTTCCGACAGCTTGCTCCAAAGCTGGTCGGCGCTGCGTCTGCCCTAGGGCGACTTTTGCCCAATTTGGGTGGACCCAGCGTCGCGACAAGACACAAGGCTGTACACGGCTGTACACGGGGGTTGTCCGGTCAATGGCACTATACGGTGCACCGGTGTGGGCGGAGAGTCAGAGCCGTACGCGGTTGCCGCCCTGCGTGTGGCCGCGGGTGGACGGGGTGGGTTTCCCCTCCACCCGCATTAGTTTGGCCAGCCGCGAGGAGGCGGCGTCCGCGTGTGCCGGACGTCGCCTAAAGAGAGGAAAATTTTGAGACGGAGCCCGCAACAGCAGCGGGCCGGCGCTAGGAGGGGTCCGGATGTCTTAATAACAGCTGTTCCCGGATCCCTCCTATTACAGGCGCAGAGTGGCACACCGTGTGGTTTTAGTCGGTCCGAGTCCGACACACCACCCCGCCGCAAACCCCGGTGGGGTGACGGTCCGAGGGGATTTCCACACGTAAAAAAAAAAAGGGTTTGTTTCAAGTTTTCCTTCTCTTTGCAGTGCTGTTGTCCTGCGTAAGTTGCTCCTTTATCGAAGTAAATACGTCTAATTATGCCCGTTAACAGATGTTCTACTATCTACTTCTATCACCTCGTTCAGCTGTTGCTGACACTTCTCCACCCATTCTCCACGTGGTGACGGATAATTACGGACTGTCACCACCCCAATTCATCCCGTGGGTGTCGTAAGAGCCGACTAAGGGAGCAAACTATATAGGACAATAGTACTGTAAAAAGAAGAAAAACTTGAAATAATCCCTATACCAACATGTCTGGCCAGCGTGATATAGTAGGCCAAGACCTCCTTTCTAAAGAGTGGACTGATATGGTAGGACAGTAGTGGGCTGGTATATAAAGTACACCCACCTCTACTTGTAGTGCAGCCGGCTTCTCCAGTCCATGTTCCAGCAGCCTGTTGATCTGATATGTAGGACAGTATGGGCTGGTATCATAACT